CCGAAGGTCCCCTGGCTCGTCCCGGACCTCCCAGGGCGCTTAGCCGGGTCTTGCCAGCAGACCCCGAGCGATCGGGGCGGTGATCAGAGAGGCCGAAGAGAGACCTAAGACAGCACAAGAGCGCTCCAAGAAGGACCCAGATGGCCTCCAGAGGCCCCCAAGAAAGACCTCCGGTATCGACCCAAGATGTCCCAAGAGACCCCCCGGAGAGCCTCTAGATTGCCTGGATGGCCCCAAGATTGTCCAACGAAGCACCGAACCAGAAAGAAGCCCAACAGGCCCTCACAAGGCCCCGAAGACAAGCCCACGAAGGCCATGTGAGGCCCCCGAAAAGGCCATGGGAGGCCACCAGGAGGGCCCACGTAGCCCCCGTAAGGTCCGAGGGCCCAAGCTCGTCAACACGGCCCACGATGGCCCCAGGACGGCTCGAGAGGGCCCCGAGCCGGCCCACCAGGGCTCCAACAAGGCCCACACGGCGTGTTCCACCAAACTGACCCGAATCCCGGGTTCGCAACCACGTTTCCTAGAAATTTGTTGCGAACCCGGGTTTCGGTGCATTCCCCAATGATTGTTTATTTTCGCGCGCCCCGTTGCGACCCGATGTAACATGGCATCCTCTGCTTGGTACTGCTTTGTGCTTTGCGGCGTTGCTTGACATTGCGTCGGTTTGCTTGGCATTCATTCGCATGGCTTGCCATTCCTTCGTATTGCGCACCGGGGCACCTGAGCCACGAGCCGGCCAATGTGTGGGCCTACGAAGGCCTTTTGTCGAGGTTCCTTGCCAGACATTTCTGCAAGCGTGCACGTATACACGAACCCCCCCGACGGCACCATCTCGTTCCCTACTCCTGCTCCTCCTCTGGGTCCTCCTCCTCCTCCTCCTCCTCCTCCTCCTCTTTCTGCCGCTCCACCACTCGTCCTCCTCCACATCCGCTTCCCTCTCATCGCTCCCCGAGATTCCCTCCCTCATATCCTTCGCCCTCCATCCAGCGCCTCTCGGGAGCCCCTGGAGGCCCGAGAAGGGCCAGGGACTTCCCGAACTTTCGAAGACTTCCGAAAACCACCGCAGGGAAGGGGCCAGATTCTTGACGCTTCGCGCTTCGCTGGCCCGTGCCCCGGACCCCCTCTCGCCGCCTGCCCTTTGCTGCGCGGCCGCGACCAAAAAAGTATCCCCACCAGCTTCGCGTTTTTGTTGCCCCCTCCCGCTTGGTCTTCCCCTTCCGCTTTCGCTTCTCTTCCTCTTTTCGCCTCCCTCTTCGTGTACGCTAATGTAGGCCGTTACATCTGCGCTTCGTACCTTAATGCCGCCCGACCTTCTCGCCGCGGTCGCGATCAAAAAGGTATCCCCACCAGCCCATCCAGAAACGATGCCCATGAGAGCTGACGGAGGGAGAGAGGAACAGACACGCATAGTCAAACAGCGAGGGAGTTTCAATCACTTCCCTCCTCGGGAGCCCCCCAAAACGCCCCTGGGACCCATCTTGGAGCGTTCTTGGAGCGCTCTTGGGCGCTCTCGGGGCCGTCTTGGTGCTCTCTCAGGCCTTTCTTGGGGTCCTCTTGGGCCATCTTGGAGCCATCCTGAAGCCTCGGAAGGCCATCAAAAAACAAAAAGGCGAGAAGGGCAAATTCATGTGTTTTCTTTCGGTTTTTGAAGGGTGTTGGCCTCTTGGCGGCCTCCTGGGGAGGCTCCGTGGCCATCTTGAGCCGTCTTGGAGCGGTCTTGGGGCCTCTTGGGGCATCTTGGGGGCCATCTTGAGCCAGCTTGGCCTACCTTGAGGAGGTCATCTTGGGCTCTCTGAGGCCGCTTGCGGGCTACTCGGGGGCCTCGTGGGGGCCTTTCGGGGGCCTCTTGGAACCCTCTTGGGGCCTCTTGGGGCGCTCGCGGGACCCTTTTGGGGGCCTCTTGGGAGCCCTGGAGGAGGGCCTCTCGGGGCCGTCTTGGAGGCGGTCGGTCAAAAGAGGGGGGGTCCTCGATGTGCGTCCCCCCCTTCGGGTGCCACGATCCTCGTGATGGGGTGTTACAAATTGCCCCCCCCCCCCCCCCCCCCCCTCCCCCACCCCACCCCCCCCACCCACCACTGGCCGAAAAAGGAGCCTCCGACACCTCGCGAAACCTCCAAAAAAACACCTCAGGGAGGGGAGGGGGAGGGTTCCCCTCCTCGAAGGGAAGAGGAGTTGTGGAAGAGGAAAGAAAACATCCTTAGGCCACTAGGGCTGACGCAAACGACCAACGTATGCAAAGCCTCAAGGACCGAGGTGCATGGCGCGAAGCGTCAATGCAGTCTTGTATTTCTATATATATATATATATATAGAGAGAGAGAGAGAGAGAGAGAGAGAGAGAGAGAGAAAAAGAAAGAAAGAAAGAAAGAAAGAAAGAAAGAGAGAGACAGAGGGAGAGAGAGACCTGGGGCACGGTGCCGACCCGCTGGGCGCCCCGTGGCGCACGCTCATCAGCACCAAGCTCGCCACGTCGGTGGCCAGGGCGCTGCTAGACGCGCCGCCGCCGGCAGCGCGGCCATGCGGGCCGATCCGCTGACGTATATAGTAATCCAGAGTGACAGGCTGAAGCAGGGTCGAGAGATATACACACATACATGTGTAGAGAGAGAAACAACAAAAACAAAAGAAGAGACAAGGAGAGAGGAGGAGAGAAAGAGAGAGAGAGAGAGAGAAAGGGAGGGAGGGAGAGAGAGAGAGAGAGAAAACAAAACAAACAAAGAGAGAAAGAGAGAGAGAGAGAGCCCGCCGCGTGCGAATGGCTTCCCGACCTCGGGGGGGGGGTCTCCGCTTCCTACGGCACCGCCACCTGAGCGGCCTGGGCACGCTCCGACTCATGTTGCTGCGACTTGCTCCCGTAGCCGTCCCGAGGCGTTCGGCGAATCCCGCCCACCACCGTGCGCAGTTTGCGAGCGAAGGGTTCAGCGGTGAAGGGGCAGGCAGCAGGTCGTTAGCTGGTGGGTCCTGCCCCACGGGCCTGCAGAACGGCGAGCTGAACCTGCTGCACTAAGCCTCCGATCCCCCGCGCCCGCAGCAGCGTGGCTCTGGCAGGCGGCGCGGCATGGTTGTTGCGCGGTCGTCTCTTCGGGGCTTTGGGGGGGAGAGAGCTTTTCGAGCTCGTGGGGCCCCTCTCGGGGCCCTGTCGGGGGGGCGTCTCGGGTGCCCCTTTGGGGGGATCTGGTGGGGGCCCTGCTTGGCCGCCGTTTCTTGCTGCCCCCCCCCCCTCCCCTCCCCCGCTGCTCTCCGCGTGTCCCGTCGGGGCAGGAAGCAGGGCGCGGAGCGCATCGAGTCTGGGAGGCAGGAGGCGGGCGCAGGAGCCAGGGAGCCGGCGGGAGACCGGCCGCAAGGCGCGCGCAGCACGGCACGAGGTGTCCGGGGGCGTCCAGGGGAGGGGGCGAGGACCAGTGAGGGTCAGAGATGACGGCCAGGGCCATGACGTCTTTCGGGTGCCCTGGCCCCCTCTTCTTCTTTCGACCCAGCCCCTGACCCCCGCGTCGCCCGCGCACATGCTGTGATGCGCACCGCCGTCGATTCCTGCCCCCCCCCCTTTGGCGAGCCCGAGATGTATGACGGGGAGCCTGCGGGGACAAAACGGTACCGATACCGATGCTGCGTGCACATCTGCCTGGGCGCGCTCTGACCATCAAGGGAGGAAGGAAAAACCACCCGACCCCGATCATTGGCGTTTACTGAACGGCCCTGGGCGTTTGCTACACGGGCCTTCCCCGCCAGATTCCTTCCCAGGCTGCGTTCACTACACGGCTTCGCGGGGCGGGGTATTTACTATGAGGGCCGATTTTTTTTTGCCCCCTGGGCCAGAGCTTCGAGGCGAACCCGGCCGTGGCGGCGAGGGGTACCGACATCGGTGTTCGGCACTTCCTCCTCCGCCTCCTCCCCCTGCTCCTCCTCCTCCTCCTTCTCCTCCTCCGCCTCCTCCTTCTCCTCCTCCTCCTCCTCCTCCTTGTCCTCCTCCCCCTCCTCCCCCTTTTCCTCCTTTTTCCTCCTCCGCCTCCGCCTCCGCCTCCTCCTCCGTGTGCGCCTCCGCCTCCGCCTCCGCCTCCTCCTCCTCCTCCGCCTCCTCCTCCTCCTCCTTCTCCTTCTCCATTCTTCCTTACAGATAGCTTCTCCCTGTCGCACCCCGAGACTAGTTTTTAGGGCGGGCCGGGCGTTTCGCCTGAGGCTTAACGCTACACCATCTATGACCTTGAAGCTTAAAAAGTGACAACCGCTTCACAGATGGAGGGCGGGTCGTTTTCAAAGTGTGGCTCTCGCCTTAGCGCCGCGCACATTCGTTTTTTGTTTTAAGTTGCTAGAGGTTCACGGACTGAGGGCGGGTCGTTCTAAAGATTTGGCTCTCGCCTTAGCGCCGCGCACATTCGTTTTTTAAGCATTGCAAGAGTGTCACGGACTGAGGGCGGGTCGTTTTCAAAATGTGGCTCTCGCTTTAGCGCCGCGCACATCTTTTTAATACTTGCAAGAGTTTCACAGATTTGAGGGCGGTTCCTTTTCAAAATGTGGCTCTCGCCTTAGCGCCGCACATATTCGTTTTTAACATTTGCAAGAGTTTGACGGATTCCCATGATCAACGTACCAGAAATTGGTTATTTGGAAGGATTCCGGATTATGCGGGTGCAACAGTTATGTTGATCCGCGGTGTTGAAGTCCCAAAAAAGGCGCTCTGACATGATTCCGGATCGTCAAGACGCAGCAGTCATGTTGATACGTGGCGTTGAAATCCAGAGAATAATGTTTGGGCATGCTTCAGGATCTTCAAACGGTTGTCTTCCAACGAGGCAGTTCCCTCAATGGAAATGAACCGTTGTGGGGGCCTATGAAGAGGGAGCTTGGAGGGAGGGTTAACTCCAGCATCTTTGATGACTCTTGGGTTTACACTGGTCCTCCTCCTCCTCCTCCTCCTCCTCCTCCTCCTCCTCCTCCTCCTCCTCCTCCTCCCAACTGAGGAGAGCGCGGGAGGCGCCCCGCCCCCCGCCGCTCCCCGAGGCGAGGGCGCGTACTCGGCGGTGTACAAGGCTCGGGGGGCCCCCCGTGCGCCCCCTGCCGTCTCTTCGGCCCCTCTGCCGCTCGGCGACGCCAGGCGCTCCCTCTGAGGAGGAGGGAGGAGGAGCAGGAGGGAGGAGCAGGCGCAGGAGGAGCAGGAGGGAGGAGGAGCAGGAGGAGGAGGAGGAGGAGCAGGAGGGAGGAGGACGAAGGAGGCGGAGGAGGAGGAGGAGGACCCCTACCGCGTGGGCGAGACCACGAAGGCGGGCCCTATTCTCGGCGGCGCGCCTGGGGGGGAAGTGGGAAGGAGCGGGCCTTCTCAGAAGGCTCGGAGGTCCCCCGGTTGTTTGAGAAGTGTTCTAAGCCTCCCCCGAAGGTACAGAAAGCTTCTCAGAAGGCGCGAGGGCTTCGTTGGCCGCCGATTTACTGTGCCGCTGCCCCTTTCGGCTCCAATCGTCTTCCGTTCTTCGCTGCCGCATTTACCGACGGATGGGGATCGACCCTTCGGTCAGCCCTGCCCTCACACAGTTGGAGGGGCGTCGTTCCTCCGGGCTTCTCCTCCTCCTCCTCCTCCTCCTCCTCCTCCTCCTCCTCCTCCTCCTCCTCCTCCTCCTCCTCCTCCTCATCATCATCATCATCATCATCATCATCATCATCATCATCATCATAAGGCCGCCGCGAGCTCAGGCCTTCGGAGGCGCAGCGGCCTTCAGCGGACGCCCCCCCGTATTCAGGCAACCAGCAGAGAGCGCAGCCATGGCATCTCCCCGCACGGGCGCGGCACCAGCACGGCGATGCTCCAGTGTGTGAGCCGTGCATGCCGCCGCGAGGATGACAGCTGCTGAGGCAGAACACACGATCCTGCTGGAGAACACTGAGAGCGATGCGACGGAGGACTTCGCCCGCTTGGACGACTACAGCGACATCGAATGGATGGGCGTCACACCGTACAGCGTGCCCTACGCAGCTGGCGAACCGCGGGGTTACGAACACGACCCACAGCGAGCTGAAGGTAACGCCCAGGAACTTCGAGCAACGGCAGAACCGCTACATTGGCACGCAGTACCTGAAACTGACCAACATCCACATGCTGCAGATGAGCTACTACCTACCACTGGAATGGACAATTCTCTGCAGCATAGATTACGGCTGTGCGCCAACGACGGTCCGCATCGTCGCCAAAGCTCGAATAGTCAGAACGCCCCAGCCCAGGAGCCCCCAGGCCAGGAGGCCCGACCGTCCAACAGTGAAATACCTGCCCCCACCACGCCCCTCCCAGCTTACACGCCACGCCCTCGAATCGCCACGACAGATGTTACCTCGCTGGCGGTGATAGGCTGGAACCCGTTCACGCTCAAGGGCACTCCTGGCAGACTGGACGACATCTCAGATTCTTTCTATAAGTTTCAGGCTCTACTGACGGTTGGCACGAAGCTACGACAGAAGGCCAAGGACGTTCCTCACCAACATGATAACAGCGTACGGCATCATTGGATTCACTTTGGATGGGGACGCGCATTGCACTCCAACTCATCAGCGGGCTGCAGCATCGCTATCAGTAAGAAGCATTTTCGAACGCAAGATATTGTTCGCATTCTACATCCGAGTACCGACTTACAAGGCCGAGGAGGCGTGGTGGAAGTGCATCGTGGAACAATCAGGATACGATTCATCGTAGCGTACTTCCCCCCACGACCTGGACAGGCAGCTCATGTACCAAGATGGCTAGTGGGATGTCGCAAACTATTGAAATGGCTCATTCAAGTTACGACGGAGGTGCCCGATCGAGTGATACCGATAGTGTTCACGGGCCTCAATCAGGGCTTGGGAAAGACTGGCAGCAAAAAGAACACTGACGAATCCATTGGCCCCTTTCAAGCAAGTACGGAGACATTATTCGGCAAAGAAGTACATTCGGCCCTTCGGCAACATGAACTGAAAGCGCTCAACACTTTTCGCGATGCCGGCTATACGTACCATGGACCCAAAAAAAAGCAGCTCCAGAATCGATTACTTTTTGGGATATTCTAACTTACTAGAGATTGTCAAGACTATTAAACTTGAATGGAGAATCCATCGCCGAGTACGTGCTCTCATCCACGTCCCTGATCATGTTCCAATGGCATTACATCTCCGTATTCCCGTCACTCAGGTCGACCCTTTGCAGGCCAACAATCGATGGGATTGGGGACTACTCGCTCAGGGACTGCAGAAAGGCACATATAGGGAAGACCTTATCGAGGCTGTCGCGAAGGACTTGGACACGTACAAGGAAACCCTACGGGCAGCGCGCATGGACCAATTCCCTACCAGACACAATGCTATTCTTCATCACATTATCACCACTCAGGCGTCCAAGCTGTACAGCACGACGAACAACAAGCCTGAATGGTGGAAGGATGCCCGCCAGCAACGACTCCAGCTCTTGCGACAGCGTGGACGAGCACGCGCAGAAGGCGACGACTTCGATTCCAGCGAGCTTCGGGACATCCAAAAGCAACTCAAAGCGCACCAACGGGAAATGGACCACTGGTGGAAAGTTAGTTTGGATCAGGACATTCGCGAAGCTTGGGCCGCAAGGGATCTATCACGAGTTTCACATCTTACTTATCTTCGAGCTGGACGCCGAACTGGAGCACGCCGACGATCATATCTTTCCTTGCCTGCTACACGCCCCAGTGGTGCTGAATATTTTGAGGCTTTGAAAGTTGCCGCCACCGACGGCGGCATCCAGGCCAGCGCGGCGTACCCCAGCATGTACATTGACGACCCCACAGCTATCACGAGATTACTTTCGCGGACAGATGACGTTCAACCAGTAGGATATGACGTGGGCGCCCCTACCATGGAGGAGCAGGAGGCAGCGCTTGAAGAACTTCAACACATTCAAACAAGGCTTTGGCGCGAGAAGCGCCGCAGGTACAATCCGCCCTGGGCATGGCCGATCGAGATCACAATTATGCTGCTCAACCCCACGTACTTGACACGTCCTGGACAACAGCGAGCAGGCATTGGATTTCAGACCCAGGGCTACCCTTCAGCGCATCTCTTGGCGACCTCCGAGAAGCCTTTCCGACAGCGACGGCTAAAACTTGATCAGCACTCATGCTATGAGATCGTGCAGGCTTTCGTGCAGCTGATCGCTCATGTACATCGTACCCAGCAGTTACCAGCCCAGGCCGCCACGAGCCATGCCATCGCAATCGGCAAGAAAGGCAAGTTCCGTACAGGACGACCCACGTTTGACATTCAGAATTGTGTTCGGCTACTCAACTGTTTCGACCATTTTTGGCGGTTATATCTTCGTATCGGCATTTTGAAGTACGGCAGTCAATATGATCCCCCTCCGTGGGCCTATGGAGGCATTTTTGCTCGGAGGCGAGAGGCACTTATGGTACTGGCCAAGCTCATTATTTGGAAGCGGAGGTGCTCGCGCCTTTCGTTCTTGGCCAAGTCCTACGACATGCGCAATGCCTTCGCCACGGGCTCCCATGAGCGGCTGATTGCAGCACGCACGTTGAGATGTGATGGCGAACACTTTCATCCTCTCCTTTCTCAGCACCGTGATCAGGCCGTAGTTTACCTCCAGGCCTCGGACGCCAACCTTGCTCTTCGGCCAGGAACTGGAGGGAGGATGGGGGACTCAAATGAGCCAGAATTTTTCATGGGATCTTTCTACCCCCTGGTATCGCAGTGGGAAGCGCAGATGGCCGAAGTGCAGGGGGACCCGTTCGGTGTTGTGTGCCCTTTCACGTCAACGACCCACAAGGGTCACCTAGGCGCCTTCATCGATGACTTGTTTAAGATACTCCTCATCCCTGACGGGACGGCTCATCAGGCAATATTGCTCGACATGATCGATAACAATACCCTCACCCAGACCCTATCCCTCGGAGGCTACGCCCAGAACGTTGAAAAGCAGGATACGTTGGTCCCTTTGGGAACCCGAGCGGCCACTAAGGAAGCCGAACGCCGAGTCTTGGGGAGGGCCCAACATGATCTCATACACTTAGGAGGATACGCCAGCGTCACAAACAGTAATCTTCGAGAACTTGGTGAACGTATTCATTCGGCCAATGTGGGATGGACACGTCTTGGGGACTACTGGTTCTCTGGGGGCCCATGGAAAAGTAAGAGACTATCATTTCTCTCGAATGTGGCTGGCCATATATGGTCAGGCCTGGAAAGCTACGTATTACGCCCACGAGAAACTCACCGCCTAGATAAATCACTCGCACGTAAACTTCGAGCCATGATGAGGGGAGGAGCACATCAGATTGATGAACATGATGCCCATCGTTCCCTCACCACACTTCAGCTTTTTCGAGAATGGCAAGTCGCCCCGACGGCCATCGAGTTGCTCGTGCGCAGGCTCAGTTGGTGGCACAGCTTAGTTGCAGATCATACGCATCACAGCCACTTTCTGGCAGTTTTCTTTGGCAGGTGCAGGTTCGAGAATGACTCGAACGATCGACCGTGCGCTGGCCCTACCCTCACGACGCACGGTGAGATCGCCACCGCCAGCTCGACGCACCCGTGGGCATTACAGCTTGCCGACGACTTGCAGTGCCTGGCCGAACATCCCATCGGACAAACGTTTGGGGAGCTATGGCGGCCACAGGTGATAAAAGCCCTTTGGGGGGATGAGGAGGTCCGCGAAGCTTTCCGATATTGCGACACCCGAGCGCTGCGAGCGAGCTTCTGGACCACGAGATGGACCCCCCCCCAGGTACCAGTAGACTCTCCGAGGCCCTGCCGTCCGCTGAACACGCCGAGACCGACAGCGAAACCGAGAACGAGCGACCATTCAAATGTGCTATTCCTGGATGCTCGGAAAGGTTTGAGACTAGTAAACGGTTGGTAACACATCAAACGAAATCAAAAGCGGACGGCCACGGACATCCATCTATACTCACATTACTGCAATTGGATAATAAATGTATCGCATGTCATACCACATTTCCCAATCATGAACATGATGTACGCCATATTCGCAGATCATGGATTGCTGGACGATGTATACACGACCTCA